TCATAGGGATTCTCCTCTTTTTTATAGGTCAGAAAGAAAATGCTCCAAAGCCACTCAAATGCAAAAAGTGTGATTATGGCCAAATGGCAGTACAGTATCAATTAATGTATTGTTATTGGTCTAGGTGCTATTCCATAGCCAGCAATTGTGTGAAAATGAGGTGCAGGAATCACAGTTGGTAGAAAAATTGCATTTATCCTACATGAGGCTTTATATTGACCTTTATAGTCTACTTTCCTAGACTTTCAAAGGGGTAAAAATCTTAAAAAATAAAAAAATCTGAAAGGATTTCAGATTTTATATTACACCCAAAAGGGAGTTTTTTAGCATTTTGTTTGTTACCTTTACTTATTAAATATCATGTTCTTCACACTTAAACCATAAAATTGAATGCAACAGCAATATCACAAAATATTTAAAAGAGCATATCTTTAGAATTTTCAATACAGTCTCGCATGCTGGAGATAATTTTTTTTTTTTTTTTCTCATACAGTGTTGCTCGTTTTGAAATCGTTGAGTTTGTTAATCAAAAATTCGTTAAAGTTTCCCAAAATGTGAAATAGATAATCAAACCATTTCCAAATTCGGGCTTCAAGATGCCCATATTCAAATGGAAAACAATGTTGTTCAAAATTTGATGTCTCTAGATACCGTTTTTTTCCGCAGTGCGAGAAACATACATACTGCATTATATTTAAAGAAATTAAATAGTGCAGATCCTTCATTATTTAATTTCTTTAAATATAATGCAGGGCTCTAATATTTGGTGGCAACACTATGAAAAGTAGAACAGCATTTATAGTGAACTGATGCAGAATGCCAAAAAAAATTAATAGCCCTTCTGGGCTAATTGTCCCTTTGGACTAAAAAGCTGATGGTCCAGAGGATTTTGTTCTGCATTAAAATTGGATTTTCTGTATGTATTACTACCAAAACATATTCATATCTTTAGAATTACTTAAGTGTTATGGAATACACAAATATTATCTTAAGACACAATAACACGCCAAATAAATACTAATTCAGAAGACAAACAACAAAAATCAGCGTTATATTTACAAAATTTTCACAGGACTAGTTTCGATGGTTTTACCAAACCACCATCCTCAGCTGCAAAACTGCAAATGAACAAAATAGGAAAAAATGATTAGATAAGATAAGAAAGCCTGGGCAAGAATAAGCAAGTGGCACCATCTGTTGGTGAAACCAGAACTCAAACATAATTTCTTTAAAGGCCGAAAAAGGCACACTCTTGTTTTAGGAGGTTATAAATATTTCTTATAGGTTATAAAATGCACACTCTTGTTTTAGGAGATTATAAAAATTCTGTTGTCATTCCCTTCTTTCCATCAATTAGCTATAAAGTTGCACATATTTTGCAGAAATTTAACTTTCGGGTTGTTTATCATCCCATCGATAAAATTCCGAGTTCCATGCTTAAGGACCCCATTCCAGATATGAATTCCTGGGGTATTTATAGGATTCCTTGCCAGTGTGGTTTAATTTACATTGGCCAAACTAAGAGAGCCTTAAAATTTCGCATCAAGGAACATGAGGCATATGTTAGAAAAAAGGAAACACAGAAGGTTTCTGTTGCGCAACATTGTTGGTCCGAAAATCACACTTTCAATTTTTCTGTTTTTCTGCTGCTGCAAAATTATTCAAAAAACATCTTCCATTGGAGAAACTGGATTTTCTAGAGGCATTTCACATTCATAAAAATCTTTCTGTTCTAGTTAACGATCCTAATTCCAATCCAAATTTGCCTTCGGCCTTTAAAGAAATTCTGTTTTAGTTCTGGTTTCACCAACAGATGGCGCCACTTCCTTATTCTTGTCCAGGCTTTCTTTTCTTATCTAATCATTATTTCCTATCTTGTTCATTTGCGGTTTTGCAGCTGAGAATGGTGGTTCAGTAAAACCATCGAAACTAGTATTGTGAAAAAAATTTTGTAACTATAACGTTGATTTTTGTTGTTTGTCTTCTGAATAAATTATCTTCTTAAAATAAAAAGAAAATAATGCCAGAAAAAAATGATGTTGAGAGAAAAAGTAATAAATGATAAAGATACACTTTAATGAAATAAAGATGTCTTTATAAAATACATCAAAATAGTATAATTAAAAAAAATCATGTATGCACCCACAAAAGTACTTTCGAAACAATTTATTTGCTTTTCAAATGAAAGGTGTGAAATTAAAATGAATACATTAATCACAAAAATTCTTCATGTGATATTTTCCTTGAATTTGACTTTGCTTTCTAGGACTTGCATTTGGATTTATAAAACTACTAACATTTAAAAAAAGTGAAGAAATGCTTTCTGTTTCTAATCAAGAAAATTTTTCATGTACTATTTTAATAATCTATCTCTATTTACCACCAGTGTAAACAAACTTGCTCATTCTGCAGAATGTAAGCAAACCCACTTAAGATGCATTTAAATTGGAACTCAGCATCTGAATTATTGTGCCTCTTCTTACATTAGATCTGTCTCAGTAACCAAGTGTTTTCTTATTTTGCATTGCACCTGGGCTCCTAAGTTACTTCACCTAAACTTTTGAATCTTTTCTTTAGGGAGTATTGTAAATATGTGTTCATTTCACATTTGCCTGTAAATCTATTTAATTTCAAGGCTAGATTATTATTGCTATGGTCACAATTAAAAGGACTTTAACAAGTGTTGTTTTTTGGTTAAACATTTGTTGAAATCAAAGAAGTTGCATAAAACACTTCTAAACAAAACTTCAGTGACATTTGTGTTCACTTTATGTAGTATTTGTTGTTTGTAAATCTCGAAAATAAGCGATCAGTCATTTTGAGTAAGCCTATTTCTTAGAATATTCAGTGTCTTCTATAAAAATTGTTGTGCCATGAAGGAAACACAAGCCTAAAATTAGGATGAAAGGGTAAAACACACTGGGATATGCAAATGATAAGAGTTTCATAGTATGCATACATTACAGGCAAGAATAATGTTTCTTCCAGTATCAAATTGTGATTTTTTTATTTTATTGTGGGAGGATATATAGCAACAGAAGGAATTATTATCCTCATTTATTGCCTGCTTCATGTGTAGATTCTTGTTTACTCCTCCTTTTGTGTTGAGATCATATTATACCTCATGGTAGAAGAAGGAACTTATTCCAATATGTCTCAGAATTCTGGAAAATTGTAACTTACTGGGATTGTGGATTATTGCACAAAACAATTGTTACTCATGTTGGTTGAGATCTGGTGTCTGTTATGAGAATCTGTAATCAGGGCAAGCTGCAAATATAGGCGACATAAACACTTAGTTTGCCAAATTTTTCAAAGGCTCCAACTAAGTTATTCTAATGGGTGGCTATCTTTGAATAATTAATATGCTTAGTTTGTACAGAGCGTTAATTGTGATGATTTTTTAGGGTACTAAAATGCTTTTGCCAAGCCTATCTGCTGTTGATGGGTCCAGAAGGGCCATTTATCTTCTACCTAACAGTGCCCAAGATGAAGACATCTTATCCGCCTTATTGCACCAGCCACATAGTGCACCTTGGGAAACTGAGTTTATTGTGCATTATTAGTTATATCTGCATAAATGGTGCAAAAATGTCAGCAGTAATACTGATTCTCAACAAAGCAAACATTAGTTTGTTTTCTGTTGACAGTAGAGCACAGGAGTCAGAATTTGCAATAGTGTATTCAATAATGCACATAGGAACATCAGAGTGCCACTGGTGTACATCATCACAATCTGTAGTTTGTATATCCATTGGTTTAACCTGCCTGTTTTTCATGACTGAAATTTTAATGCCTATGGTTGCTGCATGTCTTTGGGGCCTGCATTGCCTCACCAGCAGAAAGTTGCATATTACTCATACTGTCCTGTGTTTCGTCAATACATAAGCAGTTTGACGCCTTGGCCCGTGCTTTGCCGAGATCTGTTCACATTTGAGAATGTTTAGTCAGTGATTACAGGGAAACTGGTATGAAAAAACTTGCAGCAATTACATCAGATTAACTCTTGCACAGGACTGAAGCCATAAAGACTGCAGGCTCCATATCTTCCACCAAGTCTGTTTGACTCCATGCCTAGTTGTATACAAGCTGCTACTGTTGCCGGAGGCAAATTTTTAGGGTACTGATTTCTGCACATGCTATGCTTCAAAATTGAATGAAATTTTAATCATTTCATCCTTTCATTGAAATGTTTTCAAAAAATTAATTATTTCACTTATCGTTTTCCTTCATGGCATTATTTTAATGACTAGTGTTGTGGGAGGATATATAGCAACAGAAGGAATTATTATCCTCATTTATTGCCTGCTTCATGTGTAGTTTCTTATAGGAACTGCATCATTGGCCTATTTGAAAATTTTTCTTTTCATTATGAATAGGAAGGAGGTTAAGAAAATTTGATTTTTCAGCTTACTAATGACCAAGTGGCTAAAACCACAAAAATGTTGTTTTTCGTAGTTTGCCTAGCCTGGCTGCATACGTTTTTTCTTATGTGTGGTGTAAATATGGACTAGTTTTCCTTCATATTTACGATACATGTGAAGAAAGTCCTCCATGGCAATATCCCTCATAAGTAGTAGTACTTTTTTTGTTTACTTTCCATGATTAAATTATCTAGTTGAATTTGCACTGCAATTTTAGCCTATAATTTGCAATTTAGATATGAAAAATTGAAATGATGAAATTTCATTCTTCATCTGTCAGCCCCTTTGCAGTAATCTTTATTTAAAAAATTATCCAACTCAGAATTGAATTCTCCTGGTAGTAAATGATGTCATGCTTCAGCTTACATTTACAGCTCAACTAGATTTCTAAATTTTTCTCTCCTGAATGTAGCAAGAATTGATCTTTAAAAGTAGCTGAATTTTCTCTTTCTGTTTTTTAAAAGCAAATATTATGAATGAATCCATTATTAAGTTTTTATTTGTGTATTATTCTGATTGTGTATGTAATTTGTATTGGTAAGTAAATAATTACTAAGTATTATACATTTTTAACAGAAATGAAGAAAACTACCAAATGTCTTTTGCATCAAAAATGTTTTGCCACTAAAGAATGTAAAGTGCACATTCAGAAGTAAGTAAAGATTGTTATATATCAAAATCGTAAAAAACAACCTTATATTTAGCGTAGGTATAATGAAACACTCAATCGATTTCGAGGGCAGCTAAAGGTCCCTCCTCATCAGGAGAAAGAAATACATAGAAAGAAGAAAATAGGAATCACAGAAACACGGGGTGCTTATCAGCACAGCACTGCACGTGGTTATAACTAGATTTTTAATCAGAGTGCACTGTGAGTTGCACTGGCCGCCTACTTTTACTGAGCCAGGCTGTCTGATCAAGCATAAGAGAAATATTAGCGAAGTTAAAATAGGGAGCGAGGGGCAAATGCACATTACGCTCAAAATCTGAACTTCAAATAATGGAAAGCAACCACTGAACGGATTTTTATACCCTCTGGTAGTACCAAGTGCGAGGAGGTAACACCATCTATCGGCAAAAATAATTGAATTAAGACAGTAGAATTTTAAAGGCATTAGGAAGGACTGGATTGGACTTCAAATCATTAACTAAACTTTCTAAATCTTTGTGAATGTGAAAAGCCTACATATTAATATATGACATGATATATTATGATAATTTATAGTATATCATGTCAGTGTGGTTTAAGATATATTGGCCAAACAAAAAGAGCGTTTGAAGTTTCGTATCAAGGAACATGAATCTTATGTCAAAAAAGGGGAAATTAACAAGTCTTCAATAGCGTATCATAGCTGGACTTTTAACCATAATTTTTGATTTTGGGTCTGCAAAAGTCATCCAAAAGACTTCTTCTTCCATAGGCGAATTGGATTTTCTTGAGGCTTTTCACATTCACACAAAGATTTAGAAAGTTTAGTTAATGATTTGAAGTCCAATCCAGTCCTTCCTAATGCCTTTAAAATTCTACTGTCTTAATTCAATTATTTTTGCCGATAGATGGTGTTACCTCCTCGCTCACTTGGTACTACCAGAGGGTATAAAAAATCCGTTCAGTGGTTGCTTTCCATTATTTGAAGTTCAGATTTTGAGCCTAATGTGCATTTGCCCCTCGCTCCCTATTTTAACTTCGCTAATATTTCTTTATGCTTGATCAGACAGCCTGGCTCAGTAAAAGTAGGCGGCCAGTGCAACTCTGATTAAAAATCTAGTTATAACCACGTGCAGTGCTGATAAGCACCACGTGTTTCTGTGATACCTATTTTCTTCTTTCTATGTATTTCTTTCTCCTGATGAGGAGGGACCTTTAGCTGCCCTCGAAATCGATTGAGTGTTTCATTATACCTACGCTAAATATAAGGTTGTTTTTTACGATTTTGATTGTCACATTAGCGTGTTTCTCTTCTAGTCTATTGTTATATATGTATCTTTTTATCACTTATTGTGTAAGTAAGTTTTTTAGAACTATTAGTGCTGAATGGAAAGAAGATAAAAACTGTTTTGGTACTTGTGTACTATTGCAACCATTTTTGTAGAAGTAATCAAATTTTCAGAAAGTGCCAAACTCTGACAGCCATGCACATAACAATTCTTCCAGCAACTATACTCATAAGCGTTTCAGTCAAGCAATGCCGCCATTTTCATATGCGTTCAATTTAGTTGTATTCCAAGTTCCAATGGTTTCTATGTCCAAATTGTGACATTTTCTTATCTTAAACTTAGTTTTAAAATATGAGCTTTTGAAATTCTCCAGCAAAGAAGAAACTACAGTAAAATTGCAGCAGTAATACAGAATTTTGCTGAATTTTCCTAAATGGAACAATGAGGGAATGCATTCAAGATAGGTGCTGTTTCCAAAGATTGCATGAAGTCAATTCTCTGATGTTTTTTTAAGTGAAAACAAATCACTGTGTACTTCAGGAGAAGAATAATGCACAAAAAAAAAAAAGTTGCAGAAAGATTCGAAGAAGAATGTTTTATTTTTTTTTAATGTATGACTAATCCTTATTTAATAATTCAAATTTGTATTTGGAATTTCTAAAGTATTTTTTTTTTCCCGTATGGTGGTATTGTTTACCAAACTTACTACAAATATTGATAATTTGAGAATCTTTCTAAAAAAGAAAGTGGGAAAACTACCATCTTGCCCATGCTACGTAACTTTTCCATTTTCATCCATAAAAAAATCACTAAATTGCACAAAGATGGTTGTGATAGTACGTAAGTACCATTTTTTGAACTAGGATATGCAGTAATAAGAAGTTGTAAATTTTATCTAATTCTAATTCTTTGGCTTTGTTATATGCTTATCAGTAATGCAGTATGTTTGATTACAAACTTTAGACTTCTCTCTTTCTCTTCATAGCATTAAATCACTATATATACAAGCAAGTATATTTAAATATAAGCAACTAAATGTAGACCTAAGCACTTGAAGTTATTTTCTGTTGTTCTTAACAATAATATTTCAGTCATAATTTTTCAATGAATGAATGGTAGATTGATTATCTTTAGCAATGAATGAAGATATTTATAACAGCATTATAAAGTTGGATAGATGCAAATATGTATTTAAAATTTAAACCTTTCTTTGGGGGGATTTACTTTCTCTGACAGAATACAAGTTAAGGACTCCAGCAGTGTTTACTTGACTATAAAAACCCTTTAATATTGCATTGATCAGCTCTGAATTTATTTTCTACACCATCGAAGATTGAGCTTAATTTTCTTTAAAACATATCACAAATTTTAATGTTTATTATTATTGTGAGAAATGAAATATTATTGTCATCTAGAAACTGCGCATTGTTAAAAATGTGTAATTTGGAAACTAAAAGTGTTTTCATGTTTAATTCAGTTTTCTTCTTTTCCAAAGATAGCTGTTACTCAGGCAGAAATGTCGGACTTTACATTTTAAGAATGGCAGGTGTAAATATGAGGTCTATTCACAAAGTAACTTACATTTTGCTGCTGTGCAGTGAGAGATAGTGTTAATATCCCCTGCCTTGGTGTTGGAGGGCCTACTGAATTCTTATGCATCTGGTTATAATCGTTCATGGCACGTATTGCCTCTGCTTTGTTCACTGTGAATGTTTAAAATATGTGTGGCAATAGAAAATCCCGCCAATTGTGCAGTGCGATCAATGATTAGATTTTTGTTCACCCAATTCTAAAACTGATAACAATGTATATCAATATGCAGCACAATGAATGTGTGATTCACAGATCCCTGAAACCAGCCTTTACCACCAGGGTGTAGTTGGTGGTATAAATTTTCAAATTATTTTATGTTTGAAACTCTGTTTATAAATTTTGTCCCAACTTAATTTAAAAAGATCATTAAATGCTCCTCTAAAAATGATTCCATTATCACAATAAATTGTGCTTGACCTTTCTTGTTTGGTGATAAACCATCTAGTGCCAATAAAGGTATCCAAAGTTAAGAAACTTACCAGTTCCATGTGTTTGACTCAAAACTCCATGTAAGTAAACAACACTATCCACACTTCTTCCCCAGTTTTCAAAAGCAAAGTCCCTGACAAATGAATTCTTACAGCTTTGAAAGCTGACGGTATTTAATTCAGTCTGGTGGCAAAGCTGTAGGTTCACTTGTCATAGATTAACTTTAAATGCTTACATGTTATGCAGTTACATAAAACATTCTTAATTGTTTTTCTAGCTTCAATTATCCAAAACCTTTCTAATAATAAAATTTGCATTATTTGAGTTCATGAATGACAGTGCAGGTAATAACCAAGTAAATTCATATTTGTTTTATAACATTATTGAAATAAGGATTTTTCATCATCGTGATGCATTACCTTGGTTCTTATTAAAATATTACTGTAATCTTTAAAACTAACAAAATTTTAAAAATTTACATCAATTAAAATAAATAATAGCTTTGAACTAAACAAATCAAGGACTTTTCATTATTTTCAATTTCAGAGGGGGGGAGTTCTTTTTTTTTTTTTTTTTTTTTTTTTTTTTTTTTTTTTTTTTTTTTTTTTTTTTTACGCCAAGTTTGCCATTAATTATTTTAAAATCTTAAAACCCAAGAAAACAGACTAATTAATTTAGCATAATTTGATATGTTGTTTAGAAGCCAAAGGTATGCAGCTTTTGCGAAATCAATAGTAACCATTCTAGTCTTTTCTTTCTAAATCTGCATCTTTAGGCTCACTATCAATTTTGCCAACTGGAAAGCATTCAGAATTTTCCTTTAGCCACAAAGGTCCCTCCTATCACATGGAAGCAATCATGCCCAGAACAGAATAGTCACATTACAGTAAATGAAGTTCTTGTACTCCCTGAAACATGTTTTCATGCCTGAGGCTTTGTCAACTGACCAATTTCTTTAACTCGGTTGGTCACGAAAATTAACCAGTTTCCACCAAATGGTTGCAGTAGAATCAGACCAAAGTGTGATTTTAAGATCTAATAAGTCAAGAACTTTAGTTCTACATTTCTTAAGGCTAGCATCTATACTTCAGGCCTGACACCTAACCAGGATAAGTGTTGAATCCTGGAGAAGGCGTGGATGTTTATAAATGTATAATGTCCGTGGGGCAGGGATATACTCTAAATATTCGGGGACCCAAAAGTCTTCTTGAGAGGTTGGGAGTAGAAAAGGAGGGCTGGGAGAGCCCCAGATCCGACCCCGAGTGTTCTTTTTCAAAATTCAGGGTGTAAGTTAAGGTTGGGCTGTCTCCTATATGGTGCTCAAGACTTGTGCATTTGACTTCCTGCCATCATGAATGCAATGAGCTTGTGCTGCCCTTTGTCACACAAATGAGATTGGTAACAACTACAAGCCATTAACTCCAATTGTAGCATGCTTGGAGGTTTGATAGGAACTACTGTAGACAGTGTTTTACACTGTGTTTTTTTGAAAAAAGTTAAAGCACAATCCTTGCCTCTTTAGAAATAGAACCCTGTCATTCACGGATATGTCTTGAAATTTAGGTCATTTATATATAATATGATTATCCAATCAGAAAGTATACTTAGATTTATTTAATTTATTTCTCCTTTTTTCCCATGTGAACAGCACTTCTTCGGAGAAAGGAGCTTTCTACTAATGCTTCCAAATTATCCTTGGCTTGTCCACTCAGGGATCACTCACCAAATAATTTTCAACAATTTTTTTTATATTCATGTTATATCAATTAATTTTATTATGTTATTTTACTGAATTGTTTTTATTTGAGTTTTAATGTTTGTACATCCTGTTAGACTGTTAATCCCTTTCTTGATTTAATTTTCATTTAATTATTATCTCTTGATTGTTTCATTAATTTTGCAGCGTACTGCATGTCTTTATTATTATCTTAATTTGAAATTTCTGAAATTTTGTTTATATCTGTATAAATTTTAAAAAATAATTTAGAATAAGTAAAATGTAAGAAATCATCAGTATTTAATTAAATTTTTAAGCAAGTTAATAGAAAGTGTTTTTTTTTTTTTTTTTTTTTTTTTTTTTTATGAAATTGAAGAAATTAATGTCTAACATAAAACTTGTAGAAAGGCTGCTATCCTTTCTGTCTGCTATACATAAGTATGTATGTTATACATTAAATATATAAAACAATTTTAATTCTGCATTCACTTGGGAAGACCCCATTTTTATATTTTACCTCGTGCTTTTATTTCAGTTTGGAATATGGTAGCAGTAAAATTTTACTTATTCTTCCCCTTTTTTAGTTTAGTGACTTTAAGGTAACTAGCTACATTTTCATTTTTATTTAGCTACATTTTTATTTTTATTTCTTCTTTACTTAAAAGCAGTTTTACATCTTTGCAACTCTGTTGCTTATTCTACTGATTTGAACATGCCTCCAAAAACAAAATCATGAATATGTGAAAAGTTGAGAACTACTGCTACAAAAGATTAATTTAACATTAACTTTTATTAGATTTTCTTTAACCTGAGTCATTTAACTTAACCATTTGCTAAATAAGATAATTTGTACTGTCAAAAGACGTTAATCCGGACTCATTGGGACTCCGGCGATTCCGGATTATCGATTTTTCCGGATTATAGATCATCAGTTTAAATCGCGTAAGATGGTATGCAGAAATTCTAAAATTAAAAATATGAAAACGTAATTTATGAAATAAAGAACAATTATGATCTAAAGGGTATCAAAATTTACAAAAAAAAAAAGCTTAATATTTATTTGTTTACTTTATTAAACATTTCTTTCAACGTAAGTTGTTTAAGTTGCTTCGTTTTATGTGATAGTACTTTCTCTTTAATTCTATAAACAGACATAATTTTTTATTCAGTTACAAAGTTCAGTTTTTTGTTCTGGTTTTGTTCTGTTCTGTTATGTTTGCTGTGCCGAGAATACCGACTAACTTGTCAATCGAAATTTTTTCGTTTTCACTAACCTCTCTGTCACATTCTTCATGTCTTAATCCATTTTTTGCAGCAATTCCACTTTTTGTTTGATGGACATCGAAACATACTTTCATTTTGTACGATCCTTTGGGAGCTCCAGAATCGGAAATTCTATTTGACATAATCGAAAGTTCAAGTTTACTTTTATAGTATTGCTCTTACAGTCTGCAAAAAATAATAAGCCGGATCCAATTCGAAAATTAAGGAACAACGCAATCATCAACATTAACTGAAATAGATAATTAGATAATTTTAGCTTACCCGTCCGTTATACATAAAACACGCATGCGAAAATGTATTCTGCGCTTGCGCACACGCAAATGGGCAGTCGTAAGAGGTCTTACGCGCACGCGTAAACGCTTATGCGCATGTGTCAACGCGGCGCATGCGCAGAAAGTTTTTAGCTTTGAGGTCCGGATTATGGGTGTCCGAATTAATGACTTTTGACTGTATTGTATTTGAGTTTTTCTACCTCTAATATTGTTTAGTAGAATTGTTTCAAAAGGAATGTAGATACCATAAACGTTTTCATAGGACACTGTAAATGAGTTGTAACCATTAAATAGATGTAAACTCGGTATATTTCCTATGTAACACCAAATTTTTGGCTTAGATTTACCACATTTATTTGGGAAATAATAATTACATTCACTTGTCACCTTATCTTTTGGAGATTCATTGTTGTAACACTTTTAAGTCATTGAATGATTTATTTTGTTTTAGAAACAAACCTAACTCGGGTAACTTCAGTGATTTTGAGGATAGAAAACTTTAGTGATTGTTTCTTTTTTTCAATTTGTTGGTTTTGTTATTAATGCTAATGCAGAAAAATATTCTGTAATGTGTTTCTTTTTCTGAAATTTCACAAGCTGTTATATTATTACTTCAAGGGATGAAAAATGTTATTGGTTTACTTTCCTACTAGAAACAGTGATTTCCAGTCCCCCCTCCATGCACCCCTTTTGACACTACTCGGATATCATCTCCTATCCTTTCCCAAACTCCAAACTAAATGTACATTTATTTTGATTTAGACTATTTTGTAACATGTTTTTATAAATGAAGCAAAAATTTATAGAAAATGTTCATAACTACAGCAATTTGAATAAAAGTAGTTTTTTATATATGTAAACTAAAAGTAAATACTTATCAGTTAAATGAAGGCCGTATTTCTCCCTGAGAGTATGAAATGTTCTTAGTTGGCAACCCCTGTATTTATTATTTTTCATGCTGTTGTGCAGGATTTAAAAATTTAAGATTTTTGTTGTAGTAAATTTGTTGTTCTTATGAGTGTGTGTGTTGAAATTTTATTCATTACATTTTTATTCATGTACAAAATATTTGTTTCAGAAAATATGTATCACCTTTTGAAATATTTAAGCAGCAGCAAAAGGCCCTTGTGAAAAAAAATATGCTGTGCAAATGTAATAGAATGATGGCTAAATTATACTCTGAGGTAAGACATCCCAAAAGTGTGTTTGTTTCTTACTTGCATACTCTTTCAGTATGTTACTTTAATAACTTACTGCACACACTTTTCAGCTTGTGTAAAATTTGATATGTAAAGATATAACAATATTCTTGTTCATTATGTTATGTGTGAACCAGAAAGTAAAAGATTTAAAGTAATTCCTAAAAGCATTGATTTCAAATAGCATTGACTTCAAAGCTATTTACTGCAAGTAAATTTTTCATTTATAACCAGAAAATGTTTTATTGACAGGAGCTGTATTGCTTATCTAAAGTTTTATGTAATAAATTTTTATTTCAGTTCCTAATTGAAGTACTTGATTATTGATGGAGTAGGTTGAATATAGTTTAATATTTTCTTAAATAAAATGAAATATTAATTAATGCATTTAATGTTCATAAAGCTTTAAATAATGACCTGATTATTTCATGAATAATGACTTACTCTAACCTAAACTGTTTGATTTCAGATATCACACTTTTTGAAAAGATTGAAAATGTATAAAAATATCCAACCAATTTCATTAGTTTTTTGGCAAATTTAACTTGAAATACAAATATCTTAAATTTATAATTTATCAAACATTTGCTTTGCATTTGACAATATTTTTCTTTCAAAAAAAAAAAAAAAAAAAAAAAAAAAAAAAAAAAGCACAAATTTTAGTATCATGCAGTTTTGCTGTGCATGCATGGGCATTTTATCAGTTCTTTACTCTTAATGTATTTAATGTTACTGAATTCTGTGTATGATTGTATGTAATTAGATTTATGATTGCATGTAATTAGTTAGAAACTCAACTATAATTCAAGTCTTCTAAATTTTAGTTCTAGTTGAGTTGAGGCCTAATGTTAGAAGAGCCTCAGGTCCATACTTACATGTAGATCATTCATTCTTCAGATATGGTTCATACCACACACTTCAAAGAATTCCTGTGTAAGGGAAGAAGATTTTTTAAAATTTTTGTGTGCAATTAAAATTACTCTAGATTTTTTCTGTGTTTTTATGGTTCTAAAAAAGTTCCATGTCATCATTATGCTATTTTGGGAATATAAACTTTTAAATTTTTTTAAATTACAAAGTGTGATTAATATGTGTAATTTATGTAAGAAAATAAAATTTTGTATTTCTTGAAAAGCTATTTATTCATGACATTAATTTTTAGAGATTGAAGGAGGCTGCATTAAAAGGCAAATTAGATCATGCTTTGAATGAACAGCTACTTTCGCCTTAAAAGTTTGCTAAGGAATTATCTGTGATATGTAAAATATGTCTTGTATGTTCTACAGTATGTAGACTGTAAAAAAACTGCCTTCATTGAAGATGTTTTATAGTATTTTCTATTTGTAATGTTTGCCATTAAAAATTGTTTCTAGTCTCTTTTGATTTACTAAAAATTTTCTTTGCATTACTGTACTTGTAGAGTACACATGCTGAAATCTGGATATCCAATATCCAGACCTTCAGACACAATATCTGGATACAAGCAAAATAAATAAAATTATTTTAAATCCCCTCATTACAAAGTCTTAGAATATGGAACATATCTTCAAAAGAAAGTATTGAAGATGTGTCATAAATGCTATTTTCTGCCTACCAACAGATACCTGCATGTCATTTTTCAAACATCAACTGGCTATGGAGTTGTACTGTGGCCAGAATGATGCATTGATTGACAATGTTGGCCAAGATCACACTTTTTGCCCTTGAACAGTAGGGGAAAAGCAGATGCTATGCATTTTGCTACCTGATACAGTCTCTTGAGGTGCTAAATTGTGCTGCTGAGTAATTTCCTAAATTCTAAAAATATTACTTGCCTTAATTCCAAAATTCTGAAAATTATTCCATCCCAGCTTTTGCTGCTTGTTGCTCCTCTAAATTCTAAAATTTTTGTTGCCACTAAATTCTGATGCTCTGTGTGGTTCTATTCTGGCACTGCCCTGTGAGAGCATTAGTATTTTCTGACTTAAACAATAAGTAAAGTCTGTGTTCTAGGCAGTATAGTGATTAATGATGCTGATTGCCGTACTGCTTTCGAATCCTGGGAGGGCATGGATACTTGTAGTGTCTGTGTGGCAAGGGGCATTCATAATATATGCTAAGCCAGTACCCATTAGCTTATCACGCCAATATTAGGTCTGAGACAACTTGTGCACTTTCTGTCTGTGTAGCCTTTGGGCTAACTAAAATTTACTTAGTTAAATTCATTTTGTTACTTTTGATGTATGCCTTAAGTGCTGGCTGATTATGTATGAATAAGCTGTGCACTTTACATCTATTCCAAACCTCTGTTGTAATTTCCAAAATATAACGAGAAGTCACTTAAGTTTTCCAGACAGTATATATTAGGAAATGGGTGAAACTCTTATAAGGTGTAAGAAAATGGAGTATGGAACTCGGAATTTTATTGATGGGAGAATAAAGAACTCAAAAGTTAAATTTCTGCAAAATATGTGCAACTTTATAGCTAATTGATGAAAAGAAGGGAATGACAAGATAATTTTTATAATCTCCTAAAACAAGAGTGTGCCTTTTAGTGTGTTGAGATGAGAATTTTTTGACTGCTTGATTAATAATGTTGGGTGAAAAGCCCCTGTCAATAGCTATTGCTTTTAAATAATTTAGTTCTTCATCAAGGGCTAGTTTGGAGGAGCAAACTTGAAGAGCACGGGGAAAACATAGGAATAAAATGAAGCTAACTTTTGTTTAGTCGGATGACATGATTTAAAGTGTGGTGGAAGGCAGGCAAACCGATGAAGGTTTACGGTAAACCTGTAGTACTGAAGTTGGATGTGTTACGTGTGACCAGAATGTCGAGAAAAACGGAAGAGAAATTGCAAGTCTCAAGTTCAAAAGTGAACTGAATAGCAGGATCAATAGAATTCATTGTTGAAAGAACTTTATTTAAATCATCTTTATTACCTTCAAACAGGGTAAAAGTATCGTCTACGTAGCGGAACCATGCCGGGAAGTTTAAAGTTTCAAACAATTTTGATTCATAATAATGCATGTAGATATCAGCCAGGATGGGACTGAGGGGGCTTCCCATGGCTAATCCCTCAGTTTGCTTGTAATATTTATTTTGGAAAACAAAATGTGTTTGTTTCAAACAGAGTTGAGTGAGAGAAATTAGCTCATCAATTTCGATGCAAGAGAAATGAAATTCGCGAAGTCTGGTTTCTAGACATCTTAATGCACCCTCCACTGGGACATTGGAATGAATAATGATTTTACATCAAAAAAGAAACCATGAGTAAATTACTAGGAGAAATGTTTTTAACCTTTTTTACAAACTCTATTGAATTTTTTATGGTGTAAATGTTATTGTCTAATAGAGTTGAAAATCTAGAAACTAAATATTTAGCTAATGGATACGAGGCAGTACCTAAATTTGATACAATAGGGCGGAAAGGAATACCACTTTTATGAATTTTGGGGGAAGAGCATATAATCTGGCACAATTCGCAACAGATGGGATAAGCGAATGTTTTAAGTTGCTTGAAATCGTTTGCGAAGATTTGATCGCAGTTTTTATTTCTGACAAGTCCGATGGTGAAGGATCTTTAGGGATCGGATTATATGGTCCTTCGTTTAAGGATTTAGTGACACCATCGATGTAAGTGTTCTTATCCATGACGACTATCTGGCCACCTTTGTCGGCCTTTGAAATAATAATATCCGGGTTAGAATGAATTTCGCGCATTGTAGCTCTTTCTCTCGCAGTTAGATTTGGTTTCAAAGGTTTATTATTGAATTTCACATTATGAGCGATAAGATGCCTAATCATTTCTTTCTGTGAATCTGAAACTTTACTGAACTTGAAAGCTTTTTCGATAGGAGCCAAAATCTTTGGAATCGAGGGTTTACAGGTTTGTGAGAAGTTAAAATTATATTTTAGAATTCTCTCTTGTTCTTCTGAAAGACTAACATTAGAAATATTAACTATTGGCTTGATGTTTACAATGGGAAGATTTTTTGAACTACTTGAACTGGAAGACTGTAAAAGAAGTTTTTCGAATTTAACTGCAAGGGTGTTTTTATGACGGTTAACTGCATTCTCCGTTCTAGACCAAGACTTTTGTTCAAGGGCAGTGAATTTTGGATATGATTTAGCGAGTTCCAGATGAAGCTTATAGAGTTCATGTTTGGACAATTGTTGACGTGTATCCCTTATGACGGACCGAAGTAAGGCAAGCTTGCAATTTAACAGAATTCTTGAAACGCGACTCGAAGGTTTTTGATTAGATTTGATTTGAATAAAATTGGGGATCAATTTTTTACATTTACATTTAAGTAAAAAGTCAAGATGATTCAGGAATTTTTGCCGTTTCAGGCGTAATTTAGTGAAACGATTAACGGATGAAGGCATGATAAACAATGCAGAAAATCAAACTAAATTAACTAAGCAATAATAAAGCACACACAAAACAGCAGAAAAATCCCTCACTGAAATGAATAGAAAACAAAACGTTTGTAAGCAAAATGCATGAAATCAGACAAGCAAAGCACAATATCCAAATATACAAAACATAAACATAACTTGAAAATTGCAAAAAAGTACTTACCGAAACTCATGCAATCACAAAATGGCGGCCACACCACGTGCAAAAAATTAAGCCTGTTTGGGGCTTCTATAATTAAGACACAATAACACGCCGAATAAATACTAATTCAGAAGTCAAACAACAAAAATCAGCGTTATATTTACAAAATTTTTTTTCACAGGACTAGTTTCGATGGTTTTACCGAACCACCATTCTCAGCTGCAAAACCGCAAATGAACAAGATAGGAAATAATGATTAGATAAGATAAGAAAGCCTGGACAAGAATAAGCAAGTGGCGCCATCTGTTGGTGAAACCAGAACTAAAACATAATTTCTTTAAAGGCCGAAGGCAAATTTGGATTGGAATTAGGATCGTTAACTAGAACAGAAAGATTTTTATGAATGTGAAATGCCTCTAGAAAATCCAGTTCTCCAATGGAAGATGTTTTTTGAATAATTTTGGCAGCAGAAAAATTGAAAGTGTGATTTTCGGACCAACAATGTTGAGCAACAGAAGACTTCTGTGTTTCCTTTTTTCTAACATATGCCTCATGTTCCTTGACGCGAAATTTTAAGGCTCTCTTAGTTTGGCCAATGTAAATTAAACCACACTGGCAAGGAATCCTATAAATACCCCAGGAATTCATATCCGGAATGGGGTCCTTGAGTATGGAACTCGGAATTTTATTGATGGGAGAATAAACAACCCGAAAGTTAAATTTCTGCAAAATATGTGCAACTTTATAGCTAATTGATGGAAAGAAGGGAATGACAACAGAATTTTTATAATCTCCTAAAACAGAGTGTGCCTTTTAGTGTGTTGAGATGAGAATTTTTTAACTGCTTGATTAATAATGTTGGGTAAAAAACATCTAACAAAAACTCTTGTTTTAGGAGATTATAAAAATTCTGTTGTCATTCCCTTCTTTCCATCAATTAGCTATAAAGTTGCACATATTTTGCAGAAATTTAACTTTCGAGTTGTTTATTCTCCCATCAATAAAATTCCGAGTTCCATACTCAATGACCCCATTCCGAATATGAATTCTTGGGGTATTTATAGGATTCCTTGCCAGTGTGGTTTGATTTACATTGGCCAAACTAGGAGAGCCTTAAAATTTCGCGTCAAGGAACATGAGGCATATGTTAGTAGAAAAAGGAAACACAGAAGTCTTCTGTTGCTCAACATTGTTGGTCCGAAAATCACACTTTCAATTTTTCTGCTGCCAAAATTATTCAAAAAAAAAACATCTTCCATTGGAGAACTGGATTTTCTAGAGGCATTTCACATTCATAAAAATCTTTCTGTTCTAGTTAACGATCCTAATTCCAATCCAAATTTGTCTTCGGCCTTTAAAGAAATTATGTTTTAGTTCTGGTTTCACCAACAGATGGCGCCACTTGCTTATTCTTGTCCAGGCTTTTTTATCTTATCTAATCATTATTTCCTATCTTGTTCATTTGCGGTTTTGCAGCTGAGAATGGTGGTTCAGTAAAACCATCGAAACTAGTATTGTGAAAAAAAATTTTGTAAATATAACGCTGATTTTTGTTGTTTGACTTCTGAATTAGTATTTATTCGGCGTGTTATTGCGTCCTAATTATAGAAGCCCCAAACAGGCTTAACTTTTGCTTTTCTTTTTTGCACGTGGTGTGGCCGCCATTTCGTGATTGCATGAGTTTCAGTAAGTACTTTTTTGCAATTTTCAAGTTATGTTTATGTTTTGTATATTTGGATATTGTGCTTGGCTTGTCTGATTTCATGCATTTTGCGTGGTCAATTATGATAAATTAATAGCTATCATAACTTTGCATGCATATTGTATATATTATATATATGC